CCGAATTGAAGCGGACCGCTTTGGAAAATATCGTCGGACTCGAAAAGGCGGGAGGAATTACGCGACGAAATCACTACCAAGATCTTCTCAATGAAATAGCTCTTGACATTAGGACTAAGCATCGCCGGAGAATTCAACGCCAACGAGAATTGGAAGGTGTCCGTCTGACTCTCGAGAGACTGCACGACCAAGCCGTGTACCTTGACCAACAAATGAAAACGTACAATGACTATATTGAGCAAGCGATGATCACACTTCAAAACAAAAAGGGCAAAAAGAGATTTTTGATGCCGTTTACCAAACAGTGGGACCACGAACGCGAACTCCAGCGATCAGGGCGTATCTTCAAATTTGGCTCCTATAAATACTCTGCACGCAACCTAGCAGACCGAGGAGTGCTGGTTCATTGGAAAGGATACACTGAGCGTCAATGGGACCGGGTCGATCTCACGATTTCAAGCAACGAGGTTGGGGTCTTCATGATCGACGGCAGCAGCGGCAATATGATGGTTCCTGGTGCAAATGCTCAGGTTCCTCTTGATGATTTACTGCAGGCCCAATTCAACAACACGCAGTTTATGGACTTTTTTGAAGGACAGTTGCGAGTGAATGTTAACTTGTTTTTGCATTTGATTATGAAGAAGTTTTATAACGAATGAAGTGATGGGATATTATGGGATATGACTATCATGGCACGGTTAGGAGGATACTGGGGGCATTGAGATACCCCCTTTCTGATATAGGCCCGACTTTTGTTTCTTCTTTGTTCTACCAAGCATGCATGCAATGGATTTATTTCTGTGCTATTATCAAAAATCCAGTTCGGGGCGGTTGCTGTCAGCACAACTTTTCTCTTTCAAACCTGGCCAAGTGCGGCCCTGCTTTAGACGTTCTTTTCTATGTTTCTCTTATATTGGTCGGTTTCGGTTTTTGTTTCACGTCTCCTCCAAGCAGTCGACTTCTAGCTTCCAGGCTCGGGCAGAGACGCAAACTAGCTTAGCCATCTAGGAATGCATTACAAAACACAGAGATTGAGCCCATGCGGCTGGCCATCTTGACTGCATGTTGCATTCAGTGCTTCTATATCATTTTGGGGCTGAGGAATGTGGTGACGAATTGCGCCCGGTGATTGGCTGGCGGGTTTGATGCTAAAATCCAGCCTCCGCGATTCCTCGAGGAGCATCTCGCCAGCACGAAGAAAGCCAGACAGGTGGCCATCGTCACTTTGCTTAGCGGAACCGCATTCTGTAGCGGTTTATACCACCGTCCTTACTTCTTGGGACCTTGGCCTCGGTTCGCCCTTTGTCATTTCTGATCGAGAGCGTAGAGATACATACTTGTCCTCAGACTCACCTCCGATCCTTCGCCTCTGAGGTTAACCCACAGCTACTGCGCTTCCACCATGGATTTCAACTCGCTCAAAGACCAGATTAGCAATCTGACGATGTACGATGTGAAGGCAGGGGTGCGCAAAGTCCAGAATGGTCAGTTCGTCCTTGGTCCCGGCCCGCGACAGCAGCGCCCACCCTCGAGACCCAAGAGTGCCCAAAGCAACCGGGCGGGGGGGGAGATGTTCCGTGTTCTACTTCCTCGGGGTGAATTAGAGCGGCTGACAGCGGTTTGATTTATGCAGCTATGATGAACTATACGGAAATGGAGGCGAAAGTCCGTGAAGCTACCAACAACGAGCCATGGGGCGCGTCCTCAACTTTGATGCAGGAGATTGCGAACGGAACACATAGCTAGTTGGTTTCCTTCCGGGCGAGGACAAAATAGATCTTTTCGGCTATTAACATGCGATTATAGTCAATTACTCAACGAGATTATGCCTATGATTTACCGACGGTTTACGGAAAAGACAGCAGAAGAATGGCGGCAGATCTATAAAGTACGGTTCATGCCCCCCCCCGGTGCGCCGATATATGAAATTCGCTCTGTGCTGACGGCTAAATGTCTTCTTAGGCTTTGCAACTTCTCGAATTTCTCATCAAGAACGGTTCGGAACGAGTCATTGACGACGCACGATCCCACATTTCTCTTTTGCGGATGCTGCGCCAATTCCATTACATCGACAACAATGGCAAAGATCAGGGAATTAACGTTCGCAATCGTGCTCAGGAGCTGGCTAAGCTTTTGAGCGATGTCGATGCTATTCGTGGGGAGAGAAAGAAGGCGAAAGCCAACAGAAACAAATTCGGTGGCATTGAAGGCGGAATGGGCGGTTTCTCCGGCGGCTTTTCGAGCAGCTCTCGCTATGGGGGTTTTGGAAGTGAGGATGCCAGTTACGGAGGATACAGTGGAGGGGTATACGGCGATGGCGGAGGATTCGGTGGCAATACTAGCGGCTTCAACGATTCCGGAAGACGGAGCAACCGTTTCGAAGAGTATGATGAGAATGACGACGAGGGAAGTTATCCCGCTTCACAAAGGAGAACCGAACGCAGCCCTCCACCTGCGTCCAGGCAACAAGCAAAGAAACCTGAGCCTCCAAAAGCCCCTGAACCTGATCTGTTCGAGTTTGGTGACGAACCAGCACCGCCGGCGGCTCCAACGTCACAAATCCAAAGTTTAGTATCGGCAGGGAAACAGCCAGTTGGCAGCAGCGGCCTGACTAGTCTTGCGCCGCAATCCATCGAGGATGAGGACGATTTCGACGACTTCCAATCCGCTGGTCCAACCACACAAACGACCGCATCCCAGGCCCAGTTTGCTTCCATTCCCCCTCCAAGTACCGCATCAATTGCGCCTCCTCAGACGCAATTCGCCGCTCCAAAACCGGTCTCAGGGGCACAGGGAGCAAACTTGAATGGGCTAATGGGACTTACTTCTCCAGCGCCTTCGATTCCAGGCAGTGTATCGCACACGCCTAGCATCAGCTCCCCCACAATGCAACCCCAACCTCTCAAGCCCACGACCTACCAAGCTGTCCAACCAAATTACTTTACTTCAGTCCCAGCTCCTCAACCTCAGGCTAGTGTCAAGTCACCCAGGTACTCGTTCACAAGTAGCCACACCGACTTCAACCCACCGCCGGCAAAGCCTCTGGTGACGTCTTCGAGCAACCCTCTGGTCGTCAGCTAGCGCCAATGCCGGAATCAAGACTACCACCGCAAGTCAAAACAAAGGACCCCAATCTGGCTAGCATGGCGAAGGAGAAGGCGAGTGCAGGTATTTGGGGAACACCTGCAGCATCGATCTCGACGCCTAGCAGTACTCCGTCAGGTACGGGTATGGGCTCATCGCAGCAGCAGAAGCAGCCCGGAAATACGTCGGGGGGTCATGGCCTGGACGATCTCCTGGGCTAAGAGGCATGCCATTCGGCACTCTACCATCACTGATTCGATACATTCGTAACTAACCCTGATGACATACCTAATCATTCCATGCGCTTTCCCAAGTTTTTATCTTCGTTGCCCTCCTGCCCATTACAGCTTTGCTATTCTTCAGTTAGATATTGATCGTTCGAGTCTACTTTCGATCACTGCTGCATTACTTTAGCGAACTAAAATGGACTCCCTTCTGTTGTATACTTCATCCGAGTTTCTCATCCTAGAGTGCCAAAAGCATGAACCTTTATATGCGCTGCAACTTGGGAAGGAGGGTTTCTGGGTACGATGTTTCTTCAATATCAGTGGCCAAACAACCTGCGCCATTGCTTGTCATTTCAAGCACTAGAGAGTATACTCCGTAAGAGGCATCATTCCTTTGAGAAGCTCATACTGATTGGGTAAGAAAAGACTGCGGACAAGAATAACTAGCTAATCATTTAGATAGTAACAGTTAGGCTTGTTAAGAGATTCTCGCGCCTGTTAGATTTATTATTTATTCGGTAGTTACCAAATTAAAACCCATCGAGTTTGATAGGCCTGTATGAAAAATCTGTATCAAACCAGGTAAGTTGTATAGATATATGGTAGATGGAGAAAAAAAGAATCCCTCGCCAACACGGAGTTCTCGCAGGGAGCATGACTGGATAGAACCTATTGCCAATAGAAATTCCTTCATGGCAGGGCTTACTGGTCGAAATACAAGGGCCTTGATGATGTCAAGTTCAGGGACGAGGGCAAACAGACAGTGGAATGCCTAGCTTTTAGAGAAGAGACAAAAAATAGCTAGTCGTAATTCTCTGTACTTGACAGGTTGCTAACCTGTTTTCCAAGGATCATACATGATACTCTGGCACAACGGTGGGTAAATATTTATGGCAAAAGAGAAAGGGACAATTATGGGGCCACGGAATAGGTGATCAAGCCAGAAGCGAAAAAGGGCAAGTGGTAGTTAAAGGGACAAAACACTAACAGGTAAAGGCAGCGGAAGAAAAAAGAAAGGAAAAAATAAATAAATAAAAAGACTCCACAGCAGTTCGGCCAAACCTAGACTTGATATCACAACAGAACCTGACCAGCGGGAAAGAAAGAGATTTGCAAACGATACGCCGCCAATAGGAAAGAAAGGAAGATGCATCGTATCCAACAAGGAAACATGAGAAACAATGGTAACGCTGTTCTCCATGCTTCCCTAACAACCTCCTATGCCATCCGCCAGTTTAACATCTGGGTATTTTGAAAAAGACGTAGAAAGATAAAAATAAAGACGGCTTGACCATCTAATAAACGGAATTTCACAGCAACCAATTGAACGAGACTATCAAATCTGTCTAGAGATGCTTTTCGAGCGTCTCGACTGCTTCTTCGGCTCATCAAGGTTGGAGTTGAAATTCTCAATTTGCGGCGGTGTAGATCTGCTATGTTGGTGCCCGCTGAGAAGATGAGGTGGGTACGGGGCTAAATCGCGGCTGCTTGTTGAGAATGTGGATAAAACAGGCGGGTGCTTTTCCTTGTCTTTTGATTTTTGTTTGTCCGTATTTGAGCTTGGGGATCCTTCTAGGTTTGATGAGTTGGCCGTCATTGTGTCACCACCCTCAGCATTAGTAGCACCATTAGAAGTGGGTGGAGAATCTGCCGCCGATGGAGAATCTGGCGCATTGGGTTGGTCTTGGGCTGCGTCCAAGTCTATGGCATCAGGGTTTGGACCGTCGAGCGGAGTGTTCAGGGCCCCATTTAAACTGTTCAACCCGCCCTCGATATCACGAACCAAGCGAACGAATTCTTCTGGAACCAACCCGCTCTCTCCAGTCCTAGGGTCTTCTGCAACAAGCCAGCCTTGACCATGTCGATAGGACACCAATATAACCTGACCCTCTTTCAGCGGAAGTTCATTTTCATGTTCACGAGTAAAATCAAAGAGCGCAACCGCTTTCCCATGCATCTCTTCATCGGGCGAAACGATGGTAAATTGATAGTCCCGCGAGTAACGGGATGGATCACGCCACCCGTCATCGGAGATATCGTCGTCGGACTCAAGCTCAAAATCGCCCCCGTGGGGTTGGCCTTGAAGCGAGGTGGTAAAATGGGAATTGGTGTGCATGTCATGGCCATATGAGCCAGGGCTTAAATAGGAATGGTTCCCTTCATTCGCGGGGTAAGTAACGTAGTCTCCGGGGCCATCTTCGCCGGGATCTTCGCCCTTTACGTAGTATGACTCGCTACCGTCGCCATTGACCCCGACAAAAGCACCCTTGTCACACTCATGGCCACCCGAACCAGGACCTAAGTAGTCTCTTGCTGGGCTTCTGGCCCTCCGTGAATCAGATTTATGCTTCCGGTGCTTTGTGGTGGTCACTATAGGGCTATGCAAATCCTCGTCTTCACTGTAGGGCGGGCCGTCTCCAAAGGCTATAGCAGGGAGTTGCTGCTGGCCATACATCGTCTCGGGGTTCCAGTGTGGAGCAGGCCATGTTGAACGCATCGCGTCCCACGAACTCGGCGGATCCGACAGCCTTCGTGATTCACTAACGGGAGTTGTAGCGCTAGAGTCTTTTGGGGGCGCTCCATAGTGTAAAGGGTGTGTTGAAGGATAAGCAAAATCCCGTACCAGGGCATAGGGCAGACTAGAAGGGAAAAACGGGAAGACATGCGATGCGGGACGCGAACGGTTCATCGAGCCGGCGGAATGAGTAGATGTGCGATTCTTGCCGTAGGACTGCCCGCTTGCACGTCTTGAGGCGAAAGGAGCAGCGAGTGAGGATCGCTTCGGCAGCTGCGAGGGTGGAGAGGTGGTGTCGAGTTGTGGCGGGGCCGAGGAGGGAGAAGATATCATGGGTAGCCATTTCCACCGTGCGAGAAAAGGGAACCGACGTGTATGGCTCAGTCAACCGGAGAGACAGGGAGCAGGCTCAACTCACGCGCAGACGTTGGACCGCTGGGAGTCTTTCAAAAGGGCTGTGAGGATCAAAGGGCATGAGGCTGCGTGGAGTTCTGGCCAAAAAGCGATGTTGTCAACAAGCCAGGACTGGACAGGGAGAGGGGAGAGAAGAGAGAGAGAGTCTCACCTGGAGCAACGCGAATGGTCTGCTGTCAACAATCAAAATGTCACGCTGCGCAAACGACCAAAAGCCCACGCCTCTCAGCGAGGAGAGTCAGGCGCAGGGCAGGGAGCAAACCTGCTCGCGAGACGACCAAGCGACGATGAACGGGGGGGGTTTAGTATCAGTATTATCCATGTGAGATGCTCAATTGAAGACTTGGTAGGAGATCTTCAGGATAATTATTATGCAGGGTCATCACCAGCATTCTTCCAAACAACAGATGCTCCAGGACAAATGAAACAAACGCCGACGACAAGTGGAGGTTTCGGGCGAGGAAGACGTTTCCCAACTGTGAAAAGCCGCCCACGCCAAACGACCCACGGCCCCGATAACTAGTGGTTCACGGCCTGGGCTGCGGGATAGGGCTGCGTTGAAGCGAACACGGGCAGACGAGCAGAATGCGACTAATCTTCACTGCCGGACTGTGCGAAGAGAGCGAGCAGAAGAATCGAACCGTGAGCGACGATGAAACACACCGCACCAGCCAGTCAGCTCGCGGTCTCGGGTTTCAAATGGCCAGCAGTCATGGGGAGAGAAAAAGCAAATTGGGGATTGGCGCTGCTATTTATAGCACATCCACCGCGAGTTTGCCTCTGTGCGCTGCGTTTGATATAGATCCAAATACCTAGCCATTCCTCCTCCCGTCAAACTGTGAGAGTTCTCTTCAGTATCATCTTCATCAATGTGCAAGAGAGCGGAATCCAGTGCTAATTACAAGTTACGGATTTCATTCACCAAGACTATTCAAGGAGCATACATAAACACCCAATAGTTGACACCGCCATCCCGAACTGTTATGTATCCCGAAACCTTTTAAACTCCCAAAATGCGAATCCAGCCCAAAGCAAGGGGGAGAGTGGAGACGTCTAAAATCTTGCTGTCCTCCGCAAACAGCGAATTGAACGGGAGGTTTGACACGAACGCTCAAAAAGAAACGCCTAGCTGTTAGAAAAGATTCCTTTGCCTGTAAAATACTTGGCGAAGATGATAAGTATCGCTGCAGCCATGCACGCAGCTCCGCTAAAATTAGCCATCGCAGCAAATCCATAATTATCGATTAGCTCCCCGTTAATAGGAGGCCCGACGAGCGCAGCAACGGCAGACACCCCCATGCCCATACCCATATAAGTTCCAATATTCCTGGGGTCCTTGGGAATAGAAGTAAAACTCACGGCCATGCCGGAAGTGATTGCGCCGGAGCAGAAGCCGAAGATGGAGCCAAATACGATCAACGCAGCGTTGGAGTGGACTCTCGGCCAGCAGAATGTCAGAATACCACTGCTTACTGTAGCGGAAATGAACACGTTGAATCGACCCAGTTTGTCGGCGAGAATACCTGGGATAACTCGGCCGAGGAAGGATGCGCCGTTGAAAATCGCAGCAAGGTAGAAGGCCAGATAAGGGCTCATGCCTTGCTGAATAGCGTAGACGGGAAGATAGAATAGCGGGGTGAACAGGCCCAGGAAGCCCAGGAAGCCCGCAATAACGAGGCAGATAAACGGAGGCTCCTTGAAGGATTCCCAGAGGAAAAAGCGGCTCTTGCGCGGCGGGAGGCGGGCTTTGACGGCAAAGGCTGATGGAGCAATAAGGGCCAACGCAACAAATCCAGTAATACGGACACTCCAACCAAAGCCCAGGTTGGTCGATGTCAACATTTTACTCAGGGCGATTGGCCAAATAATCCCGCCTAGAGATGACCCGGCAATGCCTATGCCCATAGCTGCAGCGCGCTTCTTGTCAAAGTATTGCGGTGCTGCAGCCATCGCGGGGAACATAGACATGCCATTGGAAAGGCCGCCCAGAATACCTTGCGCAAGGATAAACTGGTAGTACTCCGTACATACGCTGGTCAACATAATGCTCAGAACAAAGAGCAATGCTGCTGGACGGATGACCTAAGTGAAACCATCATTAGGGCATCGCTTCAGATTGTGAGGGATGGATAGGTCAGGGACGGTTCACACCTTGGCGCCATACAAGTCAAACAAAGGGCCTCCAACGATGCCTCCGCCAAACACGAAGAAAGCCTGTGTCGATCCAATCCACGATATCTGTGAGGGGGAGTGGCCGCGGAGCTGAGAGCTCTCATAATAGGCCTGGTAAACCCTAAGTTTGGTGTAAGTAGGATTCGTCAAGCAGGCACACTTAACACTCACCCGAAGGAGTTAACATAGCCAAGGGTGCAAAAGGCAATGCCGGCTGTGCCTAATGCAACGGCCCATGCTCTCGTACCTCCATCGGGGAAGTCTCCCGCTGGAGCTTGGTCTTGATCATCCGTAGTAATTGGCGACTTCTCGTTATGGTCGTCTTCGAGACTCAGGTGAGAGAGCTCCGGGCCGGAGGGGGGGGAAGTAGATTCGGTTGCCATTCCGGTGTAGTCGTCTGAGTTGCCATCGTGAGGAGACTGTAGGAGAACGGGTTCTGCCTTCGTTTAATAGTGTAATTAGTCGTGACAATTCTCAGCTTTCGCATCAATATTTTGTCAAGAACCGGACATAACAACCCGGAGATGATGACTCATCCGGATTCAGGGGTCGAAAGCTATCAACCGCCGGACATCGGGGCTTGGCCAGTGATCCCAATCGATCATGGAGCGGGCGGAGAGCAAAACGCGAGCGGGCGTTTACTTTAATACCGCGTGGTTATTGACGTTGTCCAGTGCCCAGAAGGAGTCGCATTCGCCCGGTCTAGACGCTTCATCCCCAGGGAGATCGGGTGTTCGTAGTGCAATCTCAAGCTGGAAAGTTGACTGCGAGAAGATGCCCGTCATGCACCAGCTGCTAATAAGCTCCGCTTCAGAATACCAGGCCTAGAACCATGATTAATGTGATTAATATCCATTTAAAAGCTGGCCAATTGAACACCTTCTTGGGTGCCGCACTCATGAGTTGCAGCTTCTCCGCTGTTTCGATCTGTCTTGCTACCATGGAGTAAGACTGAGATAATCAACTCGGTTGCCATTGAGCTTTTCATGGCTTTGCTTGTTTCTGCGTCGTCGATTCTGTATTTACGACAACAAAAAAGGGGTTGCACGGTTTTGATTTGTCCGGGGTCGGGAAATCTTATGCCCAACATATCTGTCAATTAAAACCCGTGGTCGTCGATGTCAATCGGCTCAACACAAACCCTTCCACAACGGTTTCGACCCCAAACGGCACGGGGAAATGACCCACAAAATTGATGTTTTAGCATAATCTAGTTAAAATTGCGACAGGTGAGAACTTCGCTGGTTTGTCTTGTATAAGACCACAATCGAAGGGATGCGAAGATATCAGCCAAAAAAAAAAAAAGCCACACCTGTTGCGGCGGTGTGGTGAGTCAGTAGAGTTTCACAAAACATTCAGTGGAGTGCATTGGTCAAATTTGCATGCTCCCTTCTGTTCGCAAGAGAAGAAGGACTGTTCATAATATCGGACCAAGACGTGTTGAGTGGTCTTCCAGGCTTATGAGGTGTGGTTGGAATAAGCAGGAATATAACCTCCACCACTAGGAAGAGCTTAGTTAACGAGTTAACTAACTAAGCACTGCAAGTATGGCTTAGTAGTCATCGCTAGTAATATATGGGCTCTGGCTGGGGCAGGTTGCACCTTTCAAGTGGCAGCTGAGAAGATACTTAGTGAACAAACCAAGAAAGGCCAAGATATTTATCAACTTAAGAGGCTCCGCTCGGAAGCATGGAGATCAATGTGTCAAAGTCCATCCCAGGATCATGAAGCTGTCTCATCCACGTTAACTCCGTGATCTCCTAAAAGAGGGAAAAAAAGAGATATAGGGGCTACGGTCACTTACGGCTGCTTCAGAAATGATCCAGTTCTGGATCCCTTCTACTCCGGTTGAGTCGTCTAGGCGCCCACCTGTGATAGGGTCTATCCCGAGATCCGCCGGGGATACCCCTATTTCGTCCGCACGGGCTTTGAGCCTGCAATAACAACTATTTAAACTCTTCTTAAGCGCATTCGCGACGGATTGTTCTATCGAAGTTTTGGTCTGGAGGGCGTCAATGTGCGCTAGAAGACAAGAATAGAGCAAATGCCCTCGTACGTTTGTCTCGCCGTTTTTGATCCGCAGGTCAAGCAGCTCAACGTACTCCTCAACCATTTTGCGCAAATCATGGCGCGGGAAGGAGCTGGAGACGGGCATGAAAGAAGTCCGCTCTTCTTCCAGTTGGTGAATAAGTTCGTCGCAGACGGTGCTGATAGCTTGTACGGAAACGTTACGGAATAATCCGGTGCCAATCACTGTAAGGCGCGTGTAATCATCATCCAAGGATGGCGAATCAGCGGCCAATTGCCTACGAGATAAAAGAGAAATCGACACCTCCAGGCTTATTTTCCGCGAAAAATACAAGGTGGGGTCGGTTTTGGCTTTCATCGCAAAGGGATGGTGCAGGGAGAGGAGAAATCGGTACATTAAAAGATCAAGGAGTTTGACCTGGAAGGTGCTGGGATGGGCCACACCAGTGCGCCAAGATTGTATGAGAAGGTGATTGGCCCTGCAGAAAGATGAGAGGCGGGAGGCGAGCTGCAGCGTCTTCTCGTATGTGGATTCGGACCGGAAATCGTTCAGGAGCCGCGCTATCTCCAGCCTCAATGGAAATGATTTCATTAGTGCAATTTGCACCGACGTCCTCGTATATTCCTCCGACGGTTTTGGATGTGGAACTGTCATCGTTGTGTTTGATTCATCCAACTGTTCATCGTCCAAATTCGAAGGTGGTTCGCAATCGATATCTTGCATTTGGACGAGGGGCAAACCACCAGCATCCATGCTTGACTGCAGGAGTAGTTCAAGCACCGTGGCCCATAGTCTTCTCCTGATCTCTTGATCATAATAAGACATCCCTACCAATCGTGAGGGGCCAATATGGAGGCCCATATGCATTGCTGTTCTCAATAAGGAACCTGCAGAAATCCAGATAAGGTCTCCTCCGATCCCATTTGTTTGGCGAGCTAAAAGAAGAAGGCAGTATATTTGTATGCCCGACGTGTTGATTCGGCATTTCTCAAAAGGTGAATGGAGCCAAGTCTCAGCAGTTGTTATCCACTGTGTAGGAGTAGAGCGGCAGGGTGCCATTTCATTGCGGTCCGGCAAGAAGCTTATGCCAGCAGCCATCACTAGCAGTAGTTTGATAATGAATTCATGAGTTGAGGAGCTAGGGTTAACCCAGTGATTACTGAGCTCCCGCAAAAAGGACGGGACGTGCAGTATTCGGAACACAGACTCGAAGGTTCGGAGATATGCGTGGACCAGCATGTCAACTATTTTCCTCGACGGAACCTGGTCAAGAATATTGGGCCAGAGAGGCTGGTTGACAATCTCTCGGGCTTTTATTGCCCTAGCTAAATTCTTACAATTGTTGTATGTGGAACGAATGTCGGAGGTTCCATCAGCATCGAATTTCCGTAGAATATCGTAAACCTCAGAGAACTTGAAGAATCAGCGCCCAGTACTAAATATGGATCCAATAGTCAAGCTAAAATGAGCGAGATGGTTGGTAGGGGCATGCCGCGCAGGGTATATTGCGGCGGTAGCATCATCTACAATCGAGGGAATAGTCCACGATAATGGTGCCTACGTACATGATACACACTATTCATCCAATGGCTTTGGCCAAAGAATCTTGTTTTAGAGAAGATTCCTCGAACAGCTGAGCTCTCGTCGTGGGTTGTGGGTGGTGATGCTGGTGCGATATCACACGCTTTGGTCCCGCGGGAAAATTCCCTGTCCGAGTATAGAGACTTGAGGGCATCGGTGTGTTTGACGGGGCTTTTTCCGTGTGGTAAATCTTGAATAAAACTCGACCTTGGTGCTGGAAGGTCAAAAGAAGGCGCAGTGATATCGCGGGAAGAAATGAACCCAGCCTCCGGATGGGCGATAGAAAGGGTAGAGGGAGAGTTTCTAGAGACACCTGTGGTGCGGTTGCTGTTCGTGCGCGCTTGTTTCACACGGTCTGCCACGCGACCGCTGCCAGTCAAGTGGTCGTCATCACAGAGGTACGTGCATACTTCGGATCTGGAACGGGAGCATTGCTCGCAGGGAATATTCCGATCACATCTGGTGGAAGCGCAAGTATATTAGCAACGTTCCCGCGAACAATCTGGGGCACCTGGGAGATGTTTTGGACCTGGTTTTCTTGCGACGACACGGTTCACAGGCAAGAGTCGGTCGACGGCGTCGGCGGGACACAGCAGGGACCCTAGGTGTGGCTTCCATTGTGCAGAGAGGGTGGCTATAAGGACGGGGGGTAAGTTGCTGGATTGGAGTGAGCGAGGAGGGGGGACATTGGATTTCGAAAGATCACTGTCCTTGACCCAATTATGCTAACAGACGAGATACACCTTAGAGACTCTACCAGGACAGCAGCCCGCAAGTGCCATCAAAATGCATATGGCTCGCCTCATCCAGTGAGCTTGAGATCCAGCAAGCGGACGTCTCAAAAATCCTTCATGCAGGGGCTGGCTTGGCAGAAGGATCAGCCTTGCAGACATTAACAGGCAAACTAAGGGACTCCTGGGACGCTAGAGAACAGTGGCGGTATATTTAACCATTGTAGCTGTTTCTGTTTCAATGGATTCCAACTGGCTGGGGTTGGGAAGAATGTACGGAGTAGTTAGGTGACTCTTCTCCTCGCCGACAAACTCCTCATCTTCCTTGAGAGTAAGTACTTGCAACAACCAAATGACTACAGCGGAGTCTCACACTGAATTCCCATTTCTGTCCAGCTGCCTCTCAATGACCGACTTCCTCAGTCCCTTGCGGATCTTATTCCTGTGCATCTATTACAATGGCCTTACATACATTCCATCAATGGAGATGGACTATGGCAAACAGCAGCACCCGTGCTCCTGGCATAGTAAACCAGTCTTCGGTCATATCTTCAGCAGCCATCAATGGTGAGCTTATTTATCCTTTTCTTTTAGGTTGAAAGACAACCTTTTAATTCCGAATAGCTATGGCCGGTGTATCTCGCACTTGGAAACCCGAGGTGCTATTGGCATGTCCCTGGCAGACCACCTTTCTTTACTTTGACGGGTATTACTTCTAGGGACTCGGCTATTTTATGAGCAGATATATATACTCCGTATATATGTTCTTCGAGGATAAATATACGAGAGGAATCACCTATCCCTTCTCCGTATCTAAGTGATACGGATTACTGCTTCCTTTCGCCTTTTGTGTGCGGTCTTAACCAAACATCGCCATTTCCACCTCGCGAATAAGCGGTATTATGAAAAACTCTTCATAGGGTCAGCCTGTCGTTTTCCCAGCGGTTCAATCTGTTCCTCCAAACTCTGGAATCTACTTAGAAACCCCTAGGATGTCCTATTGGAATTCAATAACAAGCAAGAAGTTGAGCTTTTTGCAATTCTACAATTTTAATGGATGACATCGGGGCAGGACTGATGCCCTGAGTAAATTCTCCTTTCCAAGGACTCCCAGCTGTTCTGGTTCAATTCGTGCTTCTTTCACACGAATCCACTTGAGGTGGATTCGATGAACCATCAGAAATGATTTCTTTTGGAAACGGTTGCCCTACAGATGGTTGGCGGCAGCCTAATTAATTAAAGGGCACATATCTCTCTATCTCCGTTGGCCTGATGACAACGGGTTACCCCAGTATTCAATTCCATGATATTGAAGAAACATGCCGACCGAAACCAGCCAGCATTTTGTCGAACCACATCTCTTACCTTTCGGACCTCAAGGGGCCTTCGGTCGCTATTGACACGGCATGGTCAGGTTCCCTGACCGTATTGTTTCTTTCCCGCGCCACGACGGCACATTATCACGGTGGTAATGAACGGGCCGGAGAACATCTTTGAAATGACGTAATATCCCCGATCCCCACCGGACATAACTACTAGACGAAAGTTCGCTCGGGCATCAACAATAATATCAAAACTTCTGCAGCACAAAAAACAAACATCTCAAGGATCATGATCTGGATTCATACAGCCTCATTGGGGCCCCTGACAGCAATAATGGCGCTTCCTCCGCCTTGGCTATACTCTTTATCTTCACAAACTGCTCTCATCATGGACGCTTTTCAGAGCCAGGAGCATCGTGGAATCTTGACAACTACGTGTTGTCTTTCCTTTTCCTCTCACTCTGTTTGGTGAGACTTAGGCTTTCATAATTGTCTCTTTGGTGATGACAGAATGGAGGCTCTCGAATTTTACAGCAGGGGCTCGCGCTTCATGCTTAACTTCGTCTACACGCGCATTTGCCAAAAGGTACAGGCGGTTAGCCATCGGTGGACGTACCAAGAGATTCCGTCGCCCAAGAATGTTGTCGTGCTCGGTGGCTCATACTCCGGCGTGCATCTGGCACAACGCTTGACGGAGACCCTACCCACAGGCTATCGCGCGGTTTTGGTCGAGAGAAACTCCCACTTCAACCACTTGTTCGTGTTCCCACGCTTCGGTGTCGTTCCCGGCATGGAACAAGGCGCCTTTATCCCCTACGGCGGCATTGCTACCACGGCGCCACGCGGCATCTTCCAACACATACAAGATTCGGCCGTTGAGATCACCCCGACGCAGGTCCAGCTCGCCTCGGGGAAAAGCATCGACTACGAATACCTCGCCGTGGCTACCGGCTCGTGGCAGCCGGCACCGGCGAAGCTCACATCTACGGAAAAAGCTGACGCCTGTGCGGAGATGCGTGCGTCGCAGCATCGCATCCAGAACTCCAGCCGCATCGCAGTGATTGGCGGTGGGCCGGTTGGGGTGCAGGTTGCGACCGATATCAAGAGCTATTTTCCACAAAAGGATGTCACGCTGATCCATTCACGGCACCAACTGCTACCAAACTTCGGTCCACGGCTGCACGAGTTTGCGCTACAGGCGCTGAAAAAGCTACAGGTCAACACAGTACTAGGCCAACGGCCCAAGACGGTTGTGGACGGAGTCGACGACCTCGTCAGAAGCAGCACCCAGGAAACCTTGGCTTTTCAAAACGGTCGTCGAGAGGTATTTGACTTGGTGGTACGGAACCCCTGCTCTCCAATCCTCCCATCATAGCAATATCGCTAACCAAACATCGAAAGTAGATCCGATGCACTGGTCAACGCCCCAACTCCGGCATTCTCGCCCACCTATATCCCTCCGCCGTCTGCAAATCCACCGGCCAAATCCTCGTGCGACCAACTCTCCAGATTGATGCTGGAGCCGGCAGTCCCGTCAATCCCCACCTCTTCGCGCTCGGCGACGTTGCTAAAACCGGCGCACCTAGAATGGAGCGCGCGGCCCGCTCGCAGGCAGACGTTGTCACATCGAACATTCTGTCGATGATCAACGGACAGAGCCCATCTGCGATTTACCGCCCCGTCGACGAAGAGGGAGTGATAAAGTTAACACTGGGAAAGGTGAGCCAGAGCAGTTATGCCCCGGTGGTCCAGGATAACCTCCTCCCGCCCGGGTTTACTTCTAGTCAATTTCGTACTAACTACTGAGCTCGATCTAATTTCTATTCGATAGTACGATTGGGCCATGTATTTTAAGGAAGAAAGCGGCCGTGAACTTATGGTCAATGGCACGAGCAAAAGCGAAGACCTCGATGTGCGCAGAGCGTGGATAAACCTCGGGGCGAAATACGACCCGTCTACTTGATGCGAAGCGAATTAATTTGAAGCACATATAAGTTCCCTAGCACAGGAAGACGCGAGTCTCCTATGTTCCTCACGGATCCACCATAGCACTCACATTATTCCAACACGTATGTACATAAAGCCAACCTCGATAAGACTAAGCATTCGCCCCATAGAATAATGAGAAAGGAGCTAGTTACAATGATAGTCTTATGCCACGCAGAAATTCCTTCATGTATCAACTGGGCTCCTCTTTGATCTGAATCACGCATGTGGGCAAGAAGGGTGTGTAATAGTTCTAGAAAAACCCCCTTTAGGCTGGCGATACGTAAATACACATGTGAGATCCTAGATGCCGTCCAACTTAGATAACTATGGGAGATGACGGGTATGGGTTTTAACGGCATCGAGACTTGAATATACATACAAGACTCCAAGTGGTGGAACAGGAAGAACCAAATGGGGGATGCCGTCAGGGAGCCTGAGAGATAATATCTCGAATTTTGGGGCATATCGCAATTTGTGTTTTGAGGCTGTATCGAAATTCACTTTCACGCCCGGCGGCGAAGTTCCACCCCATCTCTACGGAAACGGAATTGTGCCATCGTTTGTGTAGGAACCGGGGTCGTTCCACCTGGAGCTTTTGAATTCTGTTCATAGTTGAGTGGGGTAGTCGAGTTCTTGAAAGGCGGAATAATAGTTATGACTGCCGCTGAGGCCATGGTGGAGCTTGCTGTGCCGTGTGAGAAAGCCCCTACACCTCGTTAGCATGGGGCTCAGAAGCATAGATATGAACGTGGGGCATACCAGTGGGCTTCACACCGGAGCTATTTGGTGCAGACTTTGTGAGCTGAACGGCTGCCGTTCTGAAACCCGTGCTGGCAGCGGTGGGAATGACCATTGCGTTATTCAACTGGGCAAGTTGTGACGGAAGCGCCGCGTTGTTAAGTGGTTGGCCCTTGACATATCCTTCCCCTCCCTGCGCAATGGCTAGTTTATTGGACAGGGGCTTTTCGATGATATCGATATCCATGCAAGTTGTGTAAATTTCGAGTTTGCCTTTGGGGAGCCCAGGGTCAACGCTCGGCGCAGTGGGCCAGTCCCAAACCCAGTAAAGCGTATAAGGCTTCCCAACAGGAACGTTTTGGGGCAGAGCAATATCTTGCTGACACCACATATCCGCTCCCATCAGCTGGTTCGCCTCATGCGGAAATTTTGCCTGGCGAAGTTTCGAAATAGGCTTGTCATTGATCTGGTAGCAACGGCCATCGTCGAAATTCTGGCGTGATAAGAGCATTCCCCTTCGATCACCTCCAGTTCCAGCAGAGTTCCAAACCTTATGAATGGATAAAATCTTGTCGTCCGGTCGAGGATCGGTGGTGCCGTACACATATACATAGCCTCGATTCTTGGGCTTTCCTGGCTGAGCGTCTGGCAGAGTAACATGGCCATTTTCTTGGAATCTTAAAGCAATTGCAGCCCCAGGGCTGGCTTTTAGTCGGGGGCTGCCCTGGGTCTGCTCGAGTTTTCGCTGTGTTTCCTTGCAGATATTGTCGCCCGGCTGTAACCCAGATCCGGCTGGTCGAGTATTTGGAGGTAAAAGATATGTCATCGCAGGATCGTTAAATTCAGGGGTGCCTCTTCTAATATTGCCTCGCGGGTATCCGGGGTCGCCGACGAAAGTGCCGTTTGGGGCAATATTCATAAGTTGTTCCACCCAGCTATGGCCTGCCACAAGCGGGGTCATCGAAACTGAGAAGAGAAAAGCCATCAAGGCCTTGGCGGTGAACATATTTGAAAACATTATGTCAAACTTAGCTTCGAAGAAATGCTGGGTTGAGCGCGTAATGGATAGTATGGGCAAAATTGTTGAAGGGAGTTGTTAACTTGGAATCGACAAGCGAGGTTTAAATGCGATCAACTTGATTGCTTCCAGAGCTAATCAGAAGGTGAAGTTCACAATGTGATGGAGATTGTGCCGTGTTGAATAAAGGAAGTAAGTGAGAAAAAGATGGCTGATGAATAAAAGAATACAGAAATTAACCACAAAATAAGAGTGAAAGCTCCAGCAAAAGTATAGCAAACAATACCCAGCAAGAAATTAGTCAACTATAGTCAATAACAAAATGAAAAACAAAAGAGGTCCACAGACAATAGGTACAATGGGTATTTTATATCTCACTCAGAAATTGGGTGTCAATGACCCATTTTATAGGAACACATAGCAGGGCTGAATCACCAAGGCATGACTGACAAATGGGCCAAAGCAAGGGTTGGTTTTCTGCTTTGGAATAGAGACACTCAGAATTCTTGAAAAAGAGATGCTTCCATTTCCATTTCAATATTTCAAGGGGAGTCGGAGAGACTCGACAAGCCAGAGCCAACCGAATCTAAGCTACCAGCGGTCATCCTGACTGAAACTGCAGGAGACGGGATCCTCATGTTTCAAAGAGGGATATCAGAGCCCGAAATAGGCTCTTCCCATGGTCACCAGGCGCGTAACGAGGTCCACAGCGTCAAGGCCAGACACAGGGAGCGTGGCCTCGGCTGTCATGGCCATCGATGCCGGGTAAAGCCATGGAGGTGAGCGGCTACAGAGATTGTTCTGCACCCCATAGCGCTCTGATCTCCCAGGATGTTTTGATGTCTGCGGTCGCCGATGAAACGCAGCGGGAGATGTCGTCAGAAGAGACGGCTTGGCAGACAAGTTGATTGGCGGTTGGCGGCCCGTGCATTGGCCAATCAGATACCCCCCTCTCCTGGGCGCCAAGGCCGTATATGACTAAGCCAGTGCAGAGGAACCACGGTTAAGGGCCAAGGCACCTCCATGCTCCAATATCCGAATAAAAGGATTGTTGGCGGGGGAAGCCAGGCTGGACTGGATCACACGACCGGCGACTTGATGAATGTCCTCCCTTCATATTGTTCCTCAAAGAGCCACTATCACTGCAAACGGAATGTGAATTGTGTAAGACACCGAGTGGTTTGGGGATGGGAGAGGTAACATGGGCCTCTCCGGAAGTTAGATGGGATTCCAACCAAGTACCAAGCACAGTCTGGTCAAAATATGCAAAAGGGCCGACGCAGCCTGGCGCAGATCCGCGGTCCTTGTCCGACGGCTGGGACACTGCTGTTCAGAAATACCCTGCTGGTTCCGTGCCTTGAATTCTCACAGGCGCGGAAATTTCGCCACAGAGCTTGATCCCAGTCATGCATGTACTACTCCTCCTCCGCAACCAGCAAATCTCAAAAAAGCCCGATGATGGGATAGTCAATGATATCTTGCCATTCCCTCTCTTCCCACGCAAGCATTGGTACGCAAGCAGCACATCTTCACGGCTGTGTGGCTTGTTATCGCGGGAGGGAGTGTACTCTGTAATACCCGCGTAACAAACAAGTCATTCTTAGGTAAGCAGGGATTTTAGTGAAAGGGGGCCCAGAAACCGATCTCAACGCTTTTTTTTCTGGGATTGAGATCTCCGGCTCGAAACAAGAAGAAATCAAAAATCGACCTTTCAACTTCCCTCTCCTCTCTTCTCTTCTCCTCTCCTCTCCTCCTCCTTCCATCATGTTTCTACGCTAGATTCTGAGGCAACGAAAACGAAAAATTTCCTCCTTGCCACTCCCGCTTCGACCGCTGACGCAACCGACACCGCCCAAGCCGCTTTCTCAGCCTACGCAGTCCACGTCAAGCTCCGCGGTTGATACCCATAGGTATCGGGTCAATCGTGATAATTTTTGCTATATCTGGCCTGGAGGTGCGGTACTCGTAAGGGATGCTCCCCTGCTTCAAAGTCCTTCGGCTCATTATCCGTCACCCTAGCAAACGGCCATTCTTCACTCGCTCCTAGTTTGCGCGCTCTTTCACCGTCGTCCTCGCATCTGCATGCGGTCGCTATCTGATCCCTAGGACTCTGCCGGCTTCCCTTCTGTCTTTTCTAAAGTACAATTGGGGATTCTTGAAGGGAGAAAGTGAGTTATTTCCGAGTCGCACGTCGTATTCGAACAGCCCATTCGCCATGAGGGGCTCCTCTCTACTCCCTCAACGTTTTCGGGAGGTTACCTCACCTGATTCTGCTGACGCCGGATGGGTAAATCGACGTATAACAAACCTTCTGCAGGCTGTTTCCCGCAGAGCCTGTATCCATCCGATCCATACGATTGTGGTGATTGCTCTTCTAGCGAGCACTACGTACGTGGGTTTGTTGGATGGCACACTCTTTGATTCGGTGAAACAAGCGACGTATAGCCCTGGCCATGTCGATGTGGACTCACTTCTTGAGGGAGGAAGAAATCTGCGACTTGGTGAGAAAACAGGGTGGAGATGGCAGGTCGATGATAGCCTTCAACTCGGGGATAGTAACGTATGGTTTATCACTGTCGCGAGTTTGCCTCCTTCGCTCCAAGTATCTAACGTTCCGATTATCATAGACTGCTCGGCATTTGGCCTTGACGACCTTTGTATTCCCTGACTCGTCGAACCGTTCCCCTCAGACCGCTCCGCTCGCGGAGAATGTCCCGCTCCCTTCTAATTCTTCGGCGCGTTCAATCCCCCACACCCCCAACTTGCTCGCTCCAATATCGCAAGATTCTTCACTCGCGTTCACCGTCTCCTACGATGAGATTACGCCCTTCTTAACCGCAGTGCGAGAAATTCCGGACTCAGTCAATCATAAAGATGCGCTCGAGCAGAAAAAATGGATCATGAAGGCAGCCCGTGGGCCAATCTCTGGTTCGCGAACCGCCTTGCGACTATGGCTGGCCGAAGCTTGGACATCATTTGTTGACCTGCTGAAAGTATGTACAGCGCCCAGATTTTATTACAAGGTCAAGCCAGCTGATGTTTTTAGCACGCGGAAACTATCGATATTTTTATCATGGTTCTCGGATATTTGTCCATGCATCTGACATTCGTCTCCTTGTTCCTGTCGATGCGACGCCTTGGATCCAAATCCTGGCTTGCTGCAACGGTCCTAATCTCCGGCGGTTTTGCTTTCCTGTTCGGTTTACTGGTCACTACAAAACTCGGCGTCCCTATCAACATGGTTCTTCTTTCGGAGGGACTGCCCTTCCTTGTTGTTTTCATTGGCTTCGAAAAACCTATCATTCTCACAAAAGCTGTGCTCTCTGCATCTCTGGAAAGTTCCAATCAAAGACCTGCCGACACGAACCGTCAAACAACCGCGGCTCGAAAGGCTTCTCCGGTACGCTCGATTCAAGACGCGATTCAACATGCTGTCAAGGCCAAAGGCTTTGAGATCGTTCGAGACTATTGTATTGAGATTGGAATTTTGGTGGTTGGTGCTGCCTCAGGTGTACAGGGAGGTCTCCGGCAGTTCTGTTTTCTCGCCGCTTGGATTTTGTTTTTTGACTGCGCATTACTTTTCACGTTCTACACCACCATTCTTTGCATCAAACTTGAAATCAACAGGATAAAACGCCACGTGGAACTCAGAAAGGCGCTCGAGGAAGACGGGATCACTCGTCGTGTTGCGGAAAATGTCGCCTCCAGCAATGATTGGCCTAGGATGAATGGAGGAGGTAACGGCAACAGCGGCAATGAATCAACTGGTATCTTTGGCAAAAAGGTCAGAGCGAGCAGTGTTCCCAAGTTCAAGTTCCTCATGGTTGGTGGGTTCGTTCTGGTCAATGTCGCCAACCTATGTACCATTCCTTTCCGCAATCGACAAGAAGACCTGCCAGTATTGACCAAGCTGTCCAACGTGCTATCGCCCGCGCCGATTGACCCATTCAAAGTGGCTGAGAATGGTCTCGATGCCATTTACGTGAATTCAAAGAGTCAGGGAGTAGAGACGATTGTCACTGTTCTGCCCCCGATCAAGTATAAGCTCGAGTACCCGTCTGTGCACTATGGTGGGCCAGACAACAGCGTTTTTGATATTGAATATACCGATGTTGTTGGTGGAAGGGTTATCGAGAGCCTGTTGAAGAGCCTGGACGACCCGATCATCAGTAAATGGATTATTGCGGCTTTGACGCTCAGCTTGATTTTGAACGGATATCTCTTCAACGCCGCACGCTGGAGTATAAAGGAACCTCAAACTGATAGCGAGCCTCAAAAGCGACAGGTAGAAACTCTCCCAGAACCAGTTACGGTTAAGAGGCCGATTGTGAAGGCTGATGGCTCGGCGAGGACTCGAGAGGAATGCGAGCAAATGCTAAAAGACAAGGCTGCTTTCCTTTTGGACGACGAAGAACTCATCGAACTATCTCTGCGCGGCAAGATTCCCGGATACGCGCTTGAAAAGACCATGGAATGTAAGGAGATGACCCGAACTGAGGCGTTTACTCGAGCTGTTAAGCTTCGAAGAGCGATTGTGTCAAGGAATACCGCCACTTCGGCAACAACAGGCTCTCTTGAATATTCTAAAGTTCCCTACGAGCATTACAACTACTCCCTTGTCCACGGTGCTTGTTGCGAAAACGTGATCGGATATCTACCACTCCCGCTAGGCGTTGCAGGACCTCTGACTGTCGATGGACAAAGTTACTTCATTCCAATGGCAACCACTGAGGGTGTTCTTGTCGCCAGCACGAGTCGCGGATGCAAGGCCATCAATGCCGGAGGCGGTGCGTCTACAGTTGTCACTGGAGATGGCATGACCAGAGGTCCTTGTGTGGGCTTCCCAAGCCTTGCTAGGGCTGGTGCGGCGAAAGTCTGGATTGACTCGGAAGAAGGACAAACGGTAATGAAAAACGCGTTCAACTCTACTAGCCGCTTTGCAAGACTGCAGCATATGAAGACTGCTCTCGCCGGGACGTACCTTTACATCCGATTCAAGACCACCACCGGTGATGCTATGGGCATGAACATGATTTCGAAAGGTGTTGAAAAGGCTCTTCATGTCATGAAAACTGAAGCAGGGTTCGATGATATGGCCACTATCTCTGTATCTGGAAATTTCTGTACGGACAAGAAGCCAGCTGCTATCAACTGGATCGATGGACGGGGTAAGTCTGTTGTTGCGGAAGCGATCATTCCCGGAGACGTTGTCAAGAACGTTCTGAAGAGCAATGTGGACGCACTCGTCGAGCTCAATATCAGCAAGAACTTGATTGGCAGTGCCATGGCTGGGAGCGTTGGAGGATTCAACGCCCATGCCTCTAACATTGTTACTGCGCTGTTCCTTGCCACTGGTCAAGATCCAGCTCAGAACGTGGAGAGCAGCAATTGCATAACCATTATGAAAAAGTAAGTTGTTTCTGTCTCGCGTAATCTCACTAGCACCCTGTCTTACTTATCTACTTTGCTCCAGCGTCGACGGCAATCTCCATATCAGCGTGTCCATGCCCTCGATAGAGGTCGGGACCATTGGAGGTGGCACAATCCTCGAAGCTCAATCCGCGATGCTCGATATACTGGGTGTCCGTGGACCCCATCCCACCAACCCCGGCGACAACGCTCGCCACTTGGCGCGCATCGTCGGTGCGGCCGTTCTGGCTGGCGAGCTGAGTCTCTGCAGTGCTCTCGCTGCGGGACACCTGGTGCAGGCGCACATGGCTCACAACCGGGCAGCGCCATCGACACGGTCGATGACGCCGGTTTCGGCGGCTGTGGCGACGACTGCAACGGATAGAAATTGATGACCAGATAGCGATATATATGTCTTGTTTTTTTTCTCTTCTTCTTGAAGCATTTCTAAACTTTTGAGGGCTAGATGCGTGGCGCGACATTCCGTGCGCGGTCCCGCATTCCTATTTAGAGGTTTTATAATTAATACACGGATTTGTGCTACTATGGCTCACTGTATATGACACGAAGAAGAGCAGGGGGTTCATGTTAGCAATACGACTATTTCCATGGTTTCAATCTGTAGCTCTCCAAGTGCTTTCAGCCAAGCAAGCGGATTAGACGAATGCAGCGCAGGGAGGCGGCTATCTTGAGAGGCTGAAGTGTCGCAAATGGCATCGAGGAATGCCTGGAGTGCCAGAAGCAGCGCAACAGGCAGATCCTTGCTGTTAGGAACAACGAAACCCTGCGCATTCCACGCTTTGCCTACAGAAGAACACATTCCCATTATTCCTGCAAACCACCAGCCGTCCTCTTGAATCCTACCTCGTCATCTCCCGGCGAGCTGATATCTGCACGCCGTTATGTCAGCCAGGGCGGGATTGTGATTGGGTCGATGCCGGTCTTTTTTGGTGATGGAGCGAAAAAAAAGGAGAAACTCGAGGGAAAAAAACAATCAGCAGGCGCCTGCGGTCTTTTAATTGACTCTTTGCTCTTCGCTTGACGGGAGCACCGGTCTTGGTTTAAAGGCTCGCTCATTTCCTTTGATTCATTCTTTGTAACCGACGCTCCCTTTGGTGTTTTTATTTTTCGGGTTTCAAGAGGAGACGTGGTGAACCGCTGACCAGAAACAGAGCTACAGATAGAGACAGACGGAGACACAGACAGAGAGAGAGCTGAAGAGACACGTTTACCTGCGCCGAACACTTGCACGACGTTCGCCCTTCGTCCGCCCGTTGGACAGACCTCCGCAGTTGCGTTCCATGACCCTCTCCTTGATGCGCCCATCCGTCTGCGACCGGATAATGTGTTGAATACGCCGGGCTGGGCAATGTTCTAGAAGGAAATCCAGACGTCTACACATGTATGAATATCTCTGAACAATTTCGCTTTAATCGATCGATCGTTTATCTCGCGTGAGTTTCCCAAGTTTTATCGCACCCGCTTGCCAGGGTTGGCCTGGTTAGCTACGGTCCGCCGATCGATTCTTCGCACCTCTTTCTCTCATCCATTTCGCTCTGCCCCAGTCGACAAACTGGCCGGACTCAAAACGAACTGTGGGGATTTGAACGATGTCTACAATTTCTATGGATGGAAGCGAATGGTCCGGCATCAATCAGTACCAGTCCAGCGGCAAGTCGGAGCCTTCGCTGTCGCCGAACCCCCTGAGCCCCGGCGGCCTACCCACCCCGCCAGCGTCCGGCAGTTTGATATACAATGCACTCGGGTCGAATCCGCCCGATATGAACGGCCTCGCACCGCCGCAGCGCCGTAATGGCCCATCGCAGAACCCTTCGCCCCCCAGCTCCGTCGTGTCGGCCACCAGATCGAGAGGGAGCGTCGGGACGCTGGCGGACCATAATAGCCAGAAATACAAGCAGATGGAGGAGCGGTTGTCACAGCACTATGCATTCTTAAAGAATTTTCTTCAGAGAGGCAACGAATACGATTTGAACGATGCCAGAGCGGCTAGGGCACGAGAGAAGTTAAAACGCCTGTCGCCGATCCAGTTCTACGACTTGAGTACGGACGTTTATGACGAACTACAACGGCGCCAGGCCGCTGCGGCTGCAAACCGCCCCGGCCCACCGCGTCCAGAGGTGCCACCGTATTTACTTCCCGACCCAGAGATCCACGCGAAGCGCAATCAAGCGCGTCGAAGATTAGCTACATTAGGACCCCAAAGGTTTGGCGAGCTGGTGATGGACGTATTCTGCGATCACGAGCGGAGGTTCCCACATCTGGCGGCAGGGGATATGAGTCGCCATGGGAGTCCAGCTCCAAGCCTGCGGAGCCGCTATGGCCCAAGCCCCGTTCCTGGACCTAATGGGATGTCTCGGCCGCGGTCTTCATCGCGAGGTCGTCCACCGGGCCCGGGGGGAAGAGGCTACCCGCCAGGCCCACCCGGCGGCCGGTTCCCTCCCAGGCAAGGATCGTTGAGCCAAAACCCACCAACGGGCCTAGGAATAAATGGAGAGACAATCCCGGAGAATGCGCCGTATCAGAAATCGTTTCAGAGCAATACGATTGTGCCGAATAAGAGCACGCTTGTTGAAGATGACGAGAGTGCCACTTTTGATGACGATGACGGCGAGGATAATAGACGGAGCGACGCGTTTACTTTGGACAAGGTCTTGGATAGTCGACGGGGTACCACGGCTACAATTGGCGGAGGCTTTTCAGAAAAGGACAATAAGAAGCTTGTAGAAGCTGAAGCTCAGGTAACGAATTTACAATCGAAAGTGGAGGAACTTGAATCGTTATTAGAAAATAAGGAGAAGGAAATTGAAGGTTTGCAAGAAAATGCTGAAAATAAATTAAAAGTATGTTGTCTACCCTATTTCCTTTCGCCCCCTTTTTGTCGTGGATTTTTGGCTAATCTCGTGTTGGTACAGTCCGAAAAGAGACAATGGGAAGATCTCGAGAACGAGCTTACGAATAAATTGTCCGACGCCCAAAACTTGAACGAGTCGCTTCGAAACGAGCTTGATAATGCGCGACGAGAGCAACAAACAATGGAAAGGGAGATGCAAGAGCATTTGGAACAACTGCGGTTGGAGCAACAACAGCTAGAGCAGCAACAGTCCCAGCGAGAAAATGAAGTTTCGTCCGCTGCAGTCGTTGATACTGAAGCTACGGAATGGAAAACGCGGTTCCAAGAGCTCGATAGGGAACACCAAGCTCTCAAAGCCGAATTCCAACAGCAGCAAGAAATTACGGAACAAGTGAGGCAACAAGCGTTAAATTCGTTGGACGAAATGAGAGCTCTGGCAAGCGGGTCGAACTGGGAGCAGGAAGAAAACCTAACAAAGGATATACACCGTCTAGAGGCGGAAGTCAAACATTGGAAAAACCGGTATGCAAAGCTCAAGACGAAACAGCGTCACCTACGATCATCCTCGCTTGGACTACCGGGCCATATTCAAGATGCCGTGGTTTTCGCAAGAGAGCACGACTTGACACAACCCGACGGCCTGGTTAAGGATGTGCATATTACGAAATTCCAAATGGCGATTGACGAGCTGCTGCGCATTGCACGGTCAGACGATCCGACTTTGGTTCTGGACCAGATGAAAGCCGTCGTTGTTGCAGTAAGGCTTATTAGCCACGATATTGAAACTGCGCAAGGGAAAGGAGATGACTATGGGCAGCCTCGTAACCGTGCTAAATCCAGGATGTCAGCCACCGCGAATAATCTAATAACCGCAGCGAAGAATTTCACCAACTCGAACGGGCTGTCTCCTGTATCGCTCCTTGACGCGGCGGCGTCTCATCTAACAGCCGCCGTGGTCGATCTGATCCGCAATGTCAAAATCCGGCCCACTTCTGAGGACGAGCTGGCGGAGGATGACGAATTGGATGATCTGGCTCCCATGCAATCACCAGGTTATTTCAGTACGGCGCCGAGTCAGAGTAGGCTGAGCGGGAACGAGTCCGTTTACAGCGCGATCAGTTCTCCTTCCTCACGCGCTCGGAGCCAGACCTTTTCTCGCATTGCGGGCATACGAAATGCGCACACAAGCGCCCAGAGTTTAGGCTCAGGGCTGAAACCCGGTTTCGGGACCGTACGAGGACCGGATCGGGAGCTGGAGGGACTGCGGATATATCTCGAAGACCAGACTGAAGGCCTAGTGCAGTCCATCCAGTCCCTAGTGGCGAGCATTCGCGCCCAAGATGATATTTCAGTGGTCCAAACTCATATCACGTCCATTTCCAACGTGGTGAAAAACGTGATCTCGTGCACCGAGGATACACTCGCCCAACCCAACGCCAACCCAGCTCTGCGGGAGCGTGCAGGGCCGGTGGTCGAAATGCTCTCAGGTTGCTGTGAGAAGCTGATAGAAGCGGGCCAAGAAGGTGGCGGCGTCAGCGATCCGGGGCAGATCCGTGAGATCACAAGCAAGCTACCCCCAATTGCATTCCAGATTGCGCGCGAGATCAAAGAGCTCGTGCAGCGAGTGGATCAGCTGGAGATGGACAGCCAGGAGGATGACGATTTTCGATGATTCTACTTTTGCTCCGTATGGGGTTTTGACTTGGATGCGCATATACGTTTATTTTTAATACTTCTTTTCTGTGCGATTTAGCCTTGATCAGGATTCACTTCTCCTTCATGTGTTATTCAACGTTTGATAGGCCTCCCTTTCGTCTCTTCTTCACCTTCTCCAACATTGTTCCAGCCATTCAGAGCTCTTTCTCTTCTTCAGTATTTATGCCTCCTTCAGACTTTTGATGACTTGAGCCAGTCTACAGTTCGACTGTGCTATCCTTTTGGTTTAGCGTTCAGTTAACACTTGTTTGACAATTCTGTACCTTTTCATTTCCTCCTTCCGACTATTAGATATATATCCTTTTCGGCCCTTGATAAACCATTGCCCGTTCTGCGTTTACCCTCTTGCGCGAATTGGCGGCGTTACGGCCTTCTGCCTCTTTGTTTGACGCCAGTTTTGCGTTAGCACCAAGCCCTCTGGCTAAATATCCCCCAAATACAATGGATTAGCATTTCTCATCCAACACGCACTACAGAGCTTGCGAGTGTTGATGCGAAGCTCCTTCAGTTGAGTCCCCTGGCCGTACAAGCGCAATACAACCTATCGTATTATTACCGGAACCACGTGGAAAACGACATTATATAAACCAATCTCGGAATATATATCTGCCGATCCGCTCTCAATATTTTTCTGCTTGTTTCATCTCGAGTCTCAACAACCACTAGATATCGACGCCCCATTGACTGCTTCTTTATCCGAAAAAGGCTATCAAATATCAAGTAAGTGCCACTTCCTTGTTCCCCGCGTCCTCCACCGTTGAAACTTCTGTTTCCTGAGGCGCTGTTGCCGCTGTTCAGCGAGGCAGAAGCTCTGCCTGGCATGGAAAGAGCTGCAAGAGAGCTTCGACAGCATGAAGACGCAACCACTCGGGCAGAATTAGCCCAGATTAAACCATGCCCAGTTGCTGGCGTCGCTGAACGCACTCTCCTCCAGCCCTGCAACAATTGACCTCGTCCCTTTTTGGCCGTCTCCGAGCACTTGCTGGAGCACCGATGTCATCCCTGGACTAACCTGCGCTCCGTAGCCCAAACTCAAACCAGGAAACAGCCCCGATTACCTCATCCATTACTCATCACAGGACAATACGTGACGGAAAAATGCCCCTCCTTGCGCGTTGCCCCACTTTGCTGGCTGCTACCCCGCCTCTCTTCTCTTCTTCTACAAGTGCTGCTCTCTCCCGCTCTCTTCCTCGCTCTTTTTCTTCTTCTTCCTCCCTCCGTTCAATCTGCCGTCCTTCCATCAATCTCGCATCCAAGTCAAATACCCAATTCCTTCGCAGCTTTCACGCTTCGTCCGCAGCCATGACGATCAAGACTTTCTTCGACATTAAATATACCGACCCCTCGGGTCAGGGTAAGTTGTTTACCTCTCCTTTCTCGTCCTTGACCATTGAACTCGAGTGCACATCCAACCAACGGCCATCAATCACAATGGCCAATCAGTATTCCCAGACCTCATTTGGCTGTTGTTCCTCGTCGATTTTTTCATCAATTGCAGTCGAGTTTGTTTGGCCTACTAACATCTGCTACCCCACTTCCAGAGAAGACCGAGCGTGTCACCTTCAACCTCTTTGACGAGGACGTCCCAAGAACTGCTGAGAACTTCCGTGCTCTCTGCACTGGTGAGAAGGGCTTCGGATACAAGGGCTCCTCTTTCCACAGAATCATCCCCCGCTTCATGCTTCAGGGCGGAGACTTCACCCGTGGCAATGTGAGATCCCCTGTTTATGTGTGATAACCACTAGTCAATAAGAAGAGAGGCTTATGGAATCATCTCTATTTAGGGCACTGGCGGCAAGTCCATTTACGGTGACAAGTTCGCCGATGAGAACTTCAAGCGCACCCACACCGGCCCTGGTATCCTCTCCATGGCAAATGCTGGGCCCAACACGTAAGCTGTCCACGCAATCGATGTTTAGGATAGGTGTCAGCTGACAAATTGCTTGTCACATATAGCAATGGCTCTCAATTCTTCATCACAACCGAAAAGACTTCATGGCTTGATGGCAAGCACGTCGTTTTCGGTGAGGTCGCCGATGAGGCTTCCATGAAGACCGTTATGGCCATTGAGAAGACTGGAAGCAGCTCTGGTGCCATCACCACCAGAACCAAGCCCACCATTGTCGACTGCGGCCAGCTCTAAATTCGCGAGCACCTCTAAATCTTGAGAAGGACACGACTTACGGACAGAACGGGATACATCCGGGGCGGCTATTTTAAAGAGTGACCAAATAAAAACTAAGACTGCTTTCTAATTAATAAGTATGCCACCGCCTGTGGCTTCCCGCCTTTCATAAAAATTTCCTAGTCGTTCTCTTTCAGATTTCTTTGCAATTGATACCGGGACCTTTCTAGCTTCCAAGAACGGTTTGCTTGACAGTCTCACAGATCGTCCTTGTTTCTCGGCAAAGGTTTCCAACTCCAAAACATGCTTTTCCACATAACTGATAGTTTAGTTAATGGTATGCTATAAGTTATGGTGTATTATTTGCTCTTTAATTAAACTGAGTATAATAATGCAATCCGAAAATTCTCTGCTCTAAAATGATATTTGGATTATGTCTGCCTGCCATGGCGATCACACTGTGTGGGATAGAAGAGTGATGCTTACATTGAGTGGCAGCAAGCCTTGAGAGAGCTTTCGCTGTACTGTTATCCTTGGAATTTGCGTCTGGTCTTCAACTAAGATTGGAGGCAAGACAGATTTTCTTTTTCAACGAACAGGGGGACCCTCCCGTTTCTAGCAAGGCTGAAGACTTTGCACATCATTTGAAAGGCTGTCTATAAGAAATAGCCTATCATTCTTCAATTCTAACCGATCATCCCCAATTTATCCAACATAGCCTTGCTCAGGCGTGTAACTACAGCCTGTAGCAGCGCAGAACTCTGATTTTAAGTGAGAAGTAGCAGGGTGGAACATGTTCTTCTAGGAGTCTTTTTGTTAATCAGCTACTAGTATCATTGCACTGTCTAAACTTCGAGTGCCGGATCAGGTATCAACGTTGTTAGTAGCTGTAGGACGATGCGTAGCTTTCAAGTATGCCTAGAAGAAAGTCTAGTCATCACATCACCGAGCCGCGATTTTTCCAAGATGACTTCTAGTAGACTAAGCCCTCAGGATCGGGTCAGCCAGTGTGAGGGCTGATAAGTTCCGTAATCTCTAACTTGTGACCACAGAGTCCGTTAGGGCAGGTCCTCTCCACTCTCTCGAGGCAGCTATTCGACCTGGCAGGATCACCAGGCAGGAATGGATACGAGATCGAGTCCCGCTCCGTCTAGTTGTGAAAACGCAAGGTTGGCTTCTCGATGCGCCAGCCCGAAAATAAGTCAGCTCTCCACGGTAAGTCCTCAGTTTAGAGGGCGGGATAAATCGTAGAGGAACAGCTTTCTCACGAATTTCACCATCACTTCAGGGCTCGATATCCATGCCGGCCGAATGACCAGCCTCAACCTCTAGCACCTTCTTCCCAGCTCTTTTCAGCACCCCATTCAATATCTGTCTCATCTGCTTGCACCCGTCAATCCCCACTGCAAACATTGTTTCTAAATACGATATATGCACCCCAGACTCCATCCGCACGATCGACAGCATCTGCGCTTCTTCGGCGTCGGCCTCTGAACCACCCCCAACGGGATTCGTATTCGCAACAGTCATGTGTGGTAATTCCATTTCCTCCGGATGAGACATATCCAGCAGTGGATCTAGGCTCTCGTTTATTCCGCCAACGCGTGACGAGGATTGAGCTAGCTCTGCGGCGGGCGTCGAGGCGCGTCCGCTCATCCCGACGGTGCAGGCGCACAGGAGCCCGGGCATGGGGATGCCAGCATCCACAAGCGCAAGAGTACAAGCGTTGACACAAGCGGCAAAAATTGAACCATCAGACGAAAGAACGGAGACATGAATCGAGATCGTGCTGTGGGGGTAGATATGAGTGTGCAGGTGTGGTTGGAAAGCATCGCGTAAGGCGGAAGAGAGTTCGGTCGTTGCTTGTCTAGTGGGAGGAGTTTAGGCACCGTTCGATAGAGATTCAACAGGGCGGTTTTTTACCTATCACTTCCTCCACCTCCACTAGCCATCATGCTCTTCTTCCTCCTATCAATTCCAGCAAACCCAGCTATGTTGACAACCACTGAAACCACTGCTCCGCCGCTTCCGCCTGTTGTTTCCGACCGCTTCCCCTCCGCAGGGCCGTGCACATTGCACACCACAACAGTGTTCCCCGTGGCCAGGTAAGAGGATCCAGAGCTGGCTGGGTTCGTGGATATTTGGGCATCTATCAGACGAAGTTCGTTCCATCTTCTCCCATCGAGACGGAGGCGAGTGAGGCGGTAGGTTGTAGAGGTGTCAAGAGGCATTGCGAGCGGAAATTGTCCTTTTTCTAGTCGCTATGGGTAACATGTGCTCCTTGCCAATTTGAATCTGCGGTTCGGCGCCGGGAACCTTTTGTGCTTCTTTGTCAAGATCCTCAAGTTTCGAAGCTCATGTCGGATTAGTCAGCGGTGGTTAAGCCTTGAAGCAACCTGGGACTACTACTTCATCCTGTACGCTTGTTTGAGGATATCCTCACAGGGGATATGTTGAATACTAGCAACAATGAAAGCCCAAGTTAGGCACTGGGGAACAACAACCGCACAGAGCATTCCTCACGTTGCGTAAGACGTGGATGATACTACTCAAGTCTCTTAAGTCTCAGTAATGGTCATGATACCCAAAGATAAAGATTGGATGCTTGCCCAATTATTTTCATTCTTCAAGCCTTTGGCGTGACATCCGCCACTACTGTGCTGGTACTCCAAGTGTGCTCGAGACTTGCACCTGCTCACTCCGCAGCCGCTATCGTTAAAGCCAGCGCTCGTGAAGAAAGCACACTGACGGTGGGAGCCACTGCCTCGCTCTGCCGGCTGAATAGGAAACAGTATAAAGCATGGAACTGGAACCACTTGCTTTGCGGACGCATCCTCAACCTCAAATACTCTTATTCGACGCGATATTTTCAGATATATCATCTTATTTAGGCTATTTTATTTCTGTGGCGATGATTCGATCAAAGCAGCTAAAGAAGTTCATTCGCAGACGTCTCCGGGACCAGTATGATGGCGACTCTGCTATTAGCGCCGCAAAGCTTCCAAGGGACATCCCTATTGAAGAGGAAAGCACCCCTAATTACAAAGAAGATGCCTTCTACCCAGTCCATATCGGCCAAATTCTCAATGGTCGGTATCGCGTTGTTGCCAAACTCGGATATGGAGGCTTCTCGACTGTCTGGTTGGCTAAAGACGTTAAGCAGTACGTTCAACATCGTCCTTTTAGGGCCAGTTAACTGATTGAGCAAAAGACGTTGGGCCCTTAAGCGCTATGTTGCTGTCAAGGTAAACACGCAAGACGGATTCGATACAGGGCTTGTTGGACATGAATCGGAAATGATCAGGACTATAACAAGCGCAGATTCTCATGCTAGGGGTCGCAAATATGTCCGCACACTCATTGACTCTTTTCAAATCGAGTCACCAAAAGCCCTGAGCCATGATTGCTTCGTTCTTAGCGCTTCGTCGGCGTCCATTGCAACGACGCAAACCTACCTCAAGAATCGGCGGTTTCCCTTGCCCTTGGTCAAGAAGCATGTTATTAAAATCCTCCAAGGTCTCGATTACCTTCATTCCGAGTGCCATGTCATCCATACAGGTATCCTTCACTCCATTAATCAAGGCACGGAAATATCTTGGTAACTAATAGGAATAAAGATCTAAAGCCCGAAAACATCCTGCTTACCTGCCAGGAAAGGTCTCTGTTCAAGAGAACTGTGAAGGAAGAAAAAGAAACTCCACTTCCGAGAAAGGAACTTGATGAAAGGACTATATACTGCTCGCAAATCGTCCTCCCTACGAGTCCTGGCCTAGGGGACCCAGTCATAACCGACTTTGGGTCCTCGGTAGACGGAAGCCATGGCCCGCTCAATCACAATATCCAGCCAAATGCCCATACATCCTTCAACAACAGCGGATCGAGCCTAATGTCAGCGAATTTGCCTAGATATCTTTGTCGATGGGATGCAAATGGAACTGTCCCTGTGGGACACTGCTGGACAGGAAGAATTCGACCGCCTGCGCGCCCTTTCCTACGATGATACTCAGGTCATAATGCTTTGCTTCAGCGTGAGATTCTATCCGTATTTTCTCGCGCTACCACGGCTCTGTTCCCTAATAACTGCCTCTTCGTAAATAGGTTGATAGTCCAAACTCCCTGGAAA